GTTAAAATTACTCCGAAATGGGGTTACTTGTACTCCTTACATGGGTTGTTTTTACTCTTTTTGGAGTTAATTTAACTCTGAAAGTGGAGTAAAAATTTTAGGTACAGGATAACTCCTTTTTTGGGGTTATTTTAACTCCTCAATATCTGGGGTCACTTTTACTCCTGAAAAAGAGTTCTTTAAACTCCTTTTTGGAGTTAAAATAACTCCACGAAAAATAACTCCACTGTAAGGAGTTAAATTAGCCCCACTAGAGGAGTTATTATAACTCCCTGCAAATTACAGTGCAGTAAGTCAGGTTGCAGGTTGTAAGGTTGCTGGCTGGGAACTCTTCCATCAGTCTTGCTGGGAGTGAGGAACAGATAATTTTTTTCCAGCAATCTCCCAAAACGCTTAAAATAGTCTCAGAAAACCTTATTCACGCTTTGTTGTTGTTTTTAGGTCTTTTTCTCAACATTTCCCGTTGGGTGCCCCCGGATTATAACCCTTACCAAGACCTTGACTATTCTAGATATCACAAAAACCGAATCTAATAATTGTTTTATTATACATTGAACGAAAAAAAAAATGGTAACGACAGTAGATGGAACAAAGCAAACCTGGAAGTCATGTTTTTGCTTCTTCACTAACGGAAGGAAAACACGCGCGCGAACTTGACATGATTACCCTTAGAAATCATGCACCGCGGTCATACATGAGATGATTACCCGTGACCTTGAGTGTCCTTGACATGATTATTGTATAATCTGCAACTAGATGATTTCCCAGGTGCTGATTTCCAAAGTTCACTGTACGCTTTCGGCCAATCGGAAAAGAGATAGTGAGTTAAATGTATTATATAATAACAGATAGTGTTGTTGTTGTTTTGTTATGGCAGAGCGGGTACGAACAACGTCGTCAAGTACAATCTGAAGACTGAGCGTGAGGAAAAACAGATAGGCTTAGCTGGTTCAGCGAGGAAGACCTCTTACCAGTGGGGTGGCTACACTCAAGTTGATCTGGCAGCTGACGAACACGGATTATGGGCCTTATGGGGCTACAGTAGTCACAGCTACAAACTGAGAGTGCGATTGATAGATGTATACACAGGGACCTTAACCCACGCTTGGCACTTAAATACAGGTACTACATACGCCTTAAGAGGTCCTTGAGCTAAATACAAATGCCATGAAATAGTAACGGGGCTTCTGGAACTTGTTAGATTCATTAATAAACTAGAAACCATAGTTATAACCTGCCAGTTAGTAAACGGTCAACATCATCCCTTCCTTCTCCAAATGCGCATCCTTTGTTTTAAAACTGAATATCTTTTAATTTCGGAAGTCTTTGTTACTCAATTGAATGACTGTAAGTGGGCATATAGTTTAATTATCTTACTCCGAGTTTCCATTTAATGTTATTTTGCAGAAGTTATGAGCTCAATGGGAAATGCTTTTGTGGCTTGTGGAGTGATTTACTGTATCGACAGCTATAATTCAAAGTCCACGACCATCAACTTTGCTTACGACACCAAGACTGGAAAACAATGGAACCCCAACATTCAGTTCACCAATCAGTTCGGCTACAACTCCATGGTGGCCTACAACCCTAGAGAAAAAGTGCTCTACGCCTGGGACAACAGGCGTTTGGTTACTTATCCAATCTCGTTTGAGGAACGTTAGGTTGATTACCTGATCAGCTGGTGATGGGCTTGAAAAAAAGGCTAATTAGGGACGCTTTGGTATTAATGTAAAGACGATGAGAAAACGGGGCAGCTCACAGGAAGCGAGCGAGTTTTACTATTGACTCAAGAAACAAACAAATGCAATGGCACTGAATAAACCAACTACTGCTAATATTGTTTCTAAGTAATAAATTACGCCATGATTTAATAAAACCTCTTAATGGTGCAAACGTTTAGACACTAAAAATTTAAAGGCCAAAATTGAAGAGTTGTCACCGAATAATGTCAAAAGCTAAATTTCTAGCAGAGACCAGTTTAGAGGCCGACCTCCACTGAAATTGTTGTCTTTTTTCTTTTGTTGGCAATCTATTCGGTCAACGGTCTAAGGCTTATTGAAGAAGTGTCATCTGAACCGATAAATGGTGATCTAGCCCCGTTTTGTCATTAATATAAACTGCTGTAGCGCTGAGATGATTAATTAAATAAAAGTGGTTAAAAAGAACTTGAACATCTTTTTAATCGCGTGTTGCTTTTTTGTTTTTAATGCACTGACAGTTTTGTAAAGTATTTTCAGTTACTAAATACAGGCCAACACTAGCCAGACTAGCACCAGAAATTTTTCGATTTTACGGTGGTCAACTTTCACCCCACACGAAAACGAGAAATGGGACTTTTCTTCCAAATCAAGTAAGGAGCTGGCGTTTACATTACAGTAAAACTCCGCGACTAAGAACGTTAACCTGGATTTTAAAAACCTGTTTAAGCTAAATTTTGGAACAGGTTCTTATTTGCTAAAACCTATGAAAAAATTATGCACAACATTCAGAACCTCTTTGGAGACATATATGCCTTATCACTGCAAATGTAATGTAAATGCCAATGTTTAAATCAAATACCACAGTACTAAAGTGATGACGTCATAATAATGAAATTTCTGAAATTATGGGATTGTCAGGATATTCTGAAAGAACAATGTCCAAGAGGTCTACTTACCAAAAATGAGCATTTCCGGGCAAATTGTCTCTGAGATGTTAGCCGGTTATACTTAGAAAACTCCATACAAACCCTTCTAATTTTTTTTTCGGGGGGGAGTCGTCCCAAAAAAATTAGAAGGGTTTTTATGGAGTTTTCTAAGCATAACTGGGCTACGATCTCAGAGACAATTTCCCCCGAAATGCTCATTTTTGGCAAGTAGGCCTCTTGGACCCTGACAAATCCCATAATTTCAGAAATTTCATTTTTGTGACGTCACACTTTAGTACTCTATTGTTATTGTGAAAGGTTTGAACCCTGGAGTTATTTCAAAGGTTGAGTTTGATCGTCCGGCTGAACGTATTCCTGAATAGGACTGTTGTTGTTGACAGTGACTGACGTTTCGACAACCTGTGCGGTAGTCATCTTCAGAGTCAAAGTGAGTTGTATCACGTCAGTTGATGGTATTATACTCTGGTTATTGATCTGATTGGTCAATTATGTCGCGATGTTATTGGTCGTCTGTCACTTAAGCCGTGATGTTATTGGCCATGAAGACTCGTAATCAGTGATTGGTGCGTTTCGATCCGTCTATTGTCACAGTTAAACAGTCGTTTATTGTTAGTCAAATTGTCAGTTCTCCAGTTGTTCTCTCGTAGTTAGTTTTGCTTGATCTCGTCAATAAGTCGTTTGTACGGCGCTGGTAACTGTTGGCTACGATTCAGTTCGAATTCAGTGGCGTTTATTCTAAGTTAGTAAACCAGCTTTCTAAAGTAAGACGTTGATAGTAGTCTGTAAAATACGTTATATATGTCGCAGAGTCCCAGTCAATTTGATGTTTCGTCTTTAAATGGTGCTCAGCAATGTGATTGTTGACGTCACCATTCCTCGTCGCGCGTTTGTGTTCGGTCAGTCGCGTGCTTAGGTTTCTGCCAGTTTCACAAATGTAAGAAGCCTGGCAGTCGCAGCATTTGATCTTGTATACTGCTCCCTGTCTGTCCTCCGGTTTGTCTTTGTCCTTGACATTAGTAAGCAGTCGCCGTAAAGTGGTTATCGGTTTGTGCGCAACACGTATATTGTAAGGTTGTAATATATGTGCAATAGTTTCAGAGGTGCCTCTGATGTACGGTATAGTCGCTGTCGTAACAGGGCCAGAGTTGGTCTGAGAGTTGGAATCGGTGTTACTGTGAGCGGTTCCGTCTAACAAAGTCCGTGTTGTAATTGTTCTTACAAAAAACGTTGTTAAGATAATCAGTCTCGTCTTGTAGCTGTCAGCTGAGTGGCAAACTAGTTGCGCTCGTCTCGTCAGAGTCCGGATAGTAGTAGCCTTGTGAGAGGTCGGGTTGTACGAAGACTGGTCTAGTAATCGGTCGGTATGTGTCGGTTTTCTGTAAATAGTCGTTTTTAGTTTATTGTTGTCGTGAGTGACCAAGCAGTCTAGAAAACGTCTCTTACCATTTTCTTCGATCTCCTTGGTGAACTGTATGTCCGCGTTCTGTCTGTTAAGGTGTTCGTGAAAATCGTCGATTCCGTGTTTGTGTACGGCGGTGAATGTGTCGTCAACGTAACGTAACCAAAGAGGTACCGTTCGCCTGTAGGTAGGTAGGGCTTGTTCCTCGATGCTTTGCATGACAATTTCTGCTACAACAACAGAAACTGGAGAGCCCATAGCTGTACCATGTAACTATTTGTAGTGTTTGCCGTTGTACTGAAAGTACGTCGAAGTCAAACAGAGGTTTTTTACATCCAGTGGAAGAAGACACTTAAAAACATCACAAGTTGACTCAAAACTCTGTCAGCTTCAGCTGTCAGAGTAAACAACTTTCAAGAAAAAGTAAACGTTAGCCTGCGATCATTTGAAAACGAGTAAATTGTCAGCGGATAACTTCAAAAAATACTGGACCTTGAAGCTGACATCCACGCCACAGCGCCAAACGAAAAGAAGCGGGCCTTTATTCGGGAGACTGATTTATTTCTCAGATAGCTTGCAATGCAGCTGTATTTTTGGGAGCGGGCGAAAGCTGCTTGCTATCTTTATATTGCCTATGTTCGTAATGCCGTGGCTGCCATCTTGAATTTGATTTTGTTGCTGAGAAAGATTGCAACTGGGGAGAGCAGCATCCCTTGGAATACATCGCTTAGGGCGAAAACAGAAGATGGAGTAAGTGGGGGCCAACTCCCGTCTATTTTTTATGATTCAACATGGCGTTATACGAGCAGAACGTCATAATGCGCACTCCAAAGAAAACGCCCTGACAATACACTGGGCACACTGAGCTACAGATTCTTCTATCTATATCGTTATTTTACTGTAAATGCATGGTAAAGTGAATCACCGAGATCGACGTTGGGGGCTACATATGAACCGCTAAAACTTCCTTTTTATAAAATGAGGATATGATCGTCGCAATGGTAATTGTAATTCAAGCAATTGCAAGTTAACCCGAAAAAAATTACGGCACTTTTAAGGAAGATATGATCGTCGCAGTGGTAATTCATGCAATATAAGTAATTGAAAATTACTGAAAACGGAGGACGGTGTCTTTAAAGGAGCCCTCTGCTATGACCTCGCTTTAGTAGCTAATCAAAACAAATTTCGGCAAACGTCTGCTTTTACTATTAATCGATGAACTTGTTTGTTTAAAATGTAAAATTCAAAAGTTTCGTATAGGAAAAAATTAAGCACACTCAGAACACAAAAATTGGCCAAACAAGGTCAAAGATAAATAATTAAATACGTTGGGGATGCTTTGAACTTTGGTGGAAAACTATTTGCATAAACTCTTATTTTTATGCTTATCTGTCATGGACAGAGAGACCAATTTTCTAACTGATCTAAACATAAATACAATATAAATTACTTTCAAAAATAATAATAATAATATCTCCCCCAGTCGCTACTGACGAATTATACTGAGGACGCAAAATGTCAAAATCAAGAAGTCCTTTTGTCGATATGCGTGTTCAAAACAACTTTTTAGTATTCAAAAATTATGAGAAAATAACAGCTCTCTTCAATGGCCTAAATGTCCTATGTATAATTCCTTTACTTTACGAAACTGGTATGACACGCGTGATCGAAAATTTTGAGTCGGCATCATCAGTTGTAAATTCTCTCAGACAGCGTAAATAATCGGTCTAATTGTTAAGTTTTAACTTCATGCCCAAGTTGATCAGAACGTGACGCGTCCAGCCTGCGTAACTGGCGGGATTCTTGATTCTGCGGCGAAGTGAGCGGCGAAAATCCCAATTTGACTTGCTCCCACGCCTAAAAGTAACTCCCCCACTAATACCACCAGCTACGCAGGTTGCGTCCATCTCTCCAGCACCGACTTTACCGCGTTGCGATCTCAAGTTTCGCGCGAATAAGTGCGTTTCGTTAATGCCTAAATAGCGTTAATCAGTCTAAACTAGAACAATAAAAAATTCACATTTTTAAACAATGAATGGTGGTGGACAAAACAAACAACTGAAGGCAATAAAAAGGTTAACTCAGCCAAGAAAATCATTCACTTAGCAAGTGTGCCTCAAGTGAGGGGGATCAAGAAAATTTGCTGATAGACCCTGATAGGGAAGAGAAGCTTTGGAAGAAATTGGTAAGAAAATAAGCCTTAAGTCTTAGACTTCACATTGTCCTTCGAAACTAATTATTTTTCCTTTGCAGATTCAGAGTGATTTTCTCTGAAGATGTTTCGATCGTGTTCACTGTTTTTCCTCTTGCTTGTCCTTTTACTGGTAAGTTTACTGCTGAGTTATGTGAGGTTATTATCCCCTTGTCAGTTTCCTGATAGGCTATTTTCACGATGACA